AGTGCAACAATCAATCCAGAAATGTACACCCTATCAATTCCTAATATTCCAATAGAGTTTAGATTTAAGTGTCCTAATATCTTTTAAGAAGTTGTTCCAACTTAATGAGTCTTTTAAAAGAGATTTCTTAATATTCAGCACACCTCGAGTGAAAAAATATTTGGCCCAAAAAGTTTGTATTCAAAGATTATCAGACTCATTCAATAGTCTCTAACTAAGCCTTAACAAGAATACTCATTATGGATATGCGTCTCTCTCGAACTCTAAAACCACCATCCTCATTAGATTTACAAATCCTATCCCAATTCATCAAATATATAGGTCCATGATCAATGGTTGATCCCTAAATGAAGTCAAGGGTAAGTTTATCAATATAGGACGTTAAACAAGGATGAAATAGGGAAGTTTGTATGGTGAAGGATGGGATGGTTAATAAAATATGTTTGACATCATTCAATCATCAAAAAATGAAGTATTTGCCTGCTCGCAAGCTTGTTCTGAATTTTATCAATAACTTTCCTATATGTATTCTTACTAGTATGGGTATGGAGAAAGAGAACTCTCAAATATCATCTAATGTACGTAGTGAGCAGAATAATATTAATAGTACTCAATATATGGGCAATTTCCCTACGAATATTCTAGGAAACAAAGATTATACATTTTGAAAGGCTAGTTTTCTAGCCTAAGTTATAACTTAAAGCATCGAAATAATTCTTAATGATTTACATTTGATTCATGGAAGCTTTAGCAAAGATTAACAGGTTGTTGGCAAAAAAGATGTGGAAAAATAAAGGGCTATTATGTCTCATCTTCAACTGTTTTTATTCTCTACTCAACCTTATAATAGATTAAATAGTTAATTCTTTCAATACAAAGAACAAAATTACAAGGGAAGAGAAGGTCCTCTTGAAGAATATTATGTGAGAGAGGAAAATTGTTAATAACGATGTCGTTAATAGCAACCTTCACAGAGGGGGTATGAATGCAATTCATTGTACATTGAATCTAACTAGGAGAAAAATGAGACTTGATGAAGGTATTCTCAATAAAATATTAATTTAATCTATCATAATTTTTTTCCAAATCTACTTTAATTGCCATATAATAGTTGTAGCGTGTTTGATTTTTCTTTCTTATGATACATATATATTTTATCCAAAATTTGCATTAATGTAGAGTGGCAGTCTTTGAAGGCTAGAAACAAGGATGTTATTATTTTATTTGAATAAGCTCTTAACTAGTTTTTGAAAAAAAAATCAAGTATATGCATTTAAAAATGAATCTACATTTTTTTTTTGCTTTCACCTAGAAACCTAAAGGGTTAATTTTATCTTTATTGCTGTTAACAAAAACATAGTTATTAGGAATGTATATTCTTATATATATTTATGCTTTTTTTTTACTATTTGATTATTTTTTTTAACTTATAAGTGCTCTTCTATTTACTATTTACTATTTATATAAAGTTTATAAATGAAATAATAATATATTTAATGAAAATTTTAAATTCTCGTCCTCTTTCATTACATAGAGGAAGTTAGCTTCAACAATTAGTTTACGAATATCATTACTCAAAGCAAGCTTCAGACTCTAGAAGACATCATAGACTTCAGCTTTTATCGCATGGCTTATATCCAAGTTACTCATGAAATCACTCACTTAATAACTTATATTGTCTCTAATAAGATCCTCAACAATAGTAGGGTCAAGACTGCCACGAGTATAACCATCTGTATTAAGCTTGAACCATTTACCTTCAGCCAACCTATGGGGACCTGGAGGGGTCCTCCATCACTTGTTGATTGTGGGATCTACGATAAGCATTTTGGAACTCCAACACAACTGAATAATACCTGAGTTAGAAATAGTAAAGTGATTTGCCTCACCCTTAAAAATGTGCTCATTTTTTTTCTTTCATAGGATCCACACTGTAATGAGAAAGATCGCCGTCCAGCTCATGATACTATAGAAGTTAATATTCATTTTTTATTTCTATACCAACCACCTATCAAAAGGAAGAAATGAGAAAATGTTAGAATACCAAACATCAATTAACTTAGACCATATTTATCTTGCCATGAGACAA